GCTGAGCTTTCATTGCAACAATAGAACCAGATATGTAACTCAACACGTGACCGAGCTTTCAATGCAGCAATGGAACCAGATATGTAACTGAATACGCGGCCGACCTTTGATTGCAGCAATGGAACCAGATATGTAACTGAACACGTGGCTGAGCTTTCATTGCAACAATAGTACAGATATGTAACTGAACACGTGACCGAGCTTTAATTGCAGCAATGGAACCAGATACGTAACTGAACACGCGGCCGAGATTTCATTGCAGCAATGGAACCAGATATGTAACTGAACACGCGGCCGAGCTTTCATTGCAGCAATGGAACCAGATATACAACTGAACACGCGGCCGAGCTTTCATTGCAGCAATAGAACCAGATATATAACTGAACACGCAACCAAGCTTTCATTGCAGCAATGGAACCAGATATGTAACCGACTCAACGGCACTATTCATATGAAGACGTCTTGGTCCTTGCTTCACCATACGTTATACCCATGCTCCTCGCGATCTGGAAGTAATAATAAATTACTAAACACTTGTTTGAAGCAGAAAAACAAGGGCAAGATGTTGAAACAGCCCTTGAAACTACGTATTTCTCTGGCCCAAGGTGACAATCGTTATCTACCTACAATGGAGCTCCCAATCCAGACTTGCACGCACAGATTGCAGAGTCGGAAGTTTGGGCTGCACTAAGCAAACTTCGCAACACATCCGCTCGAGGACTAGATTGAATGATGGATAAGACACTCCGAAATTTAGACTGCAAGTCAGCGGCCGCTCTAACCGATACATGAATCAACAATGGAAGCAGGGCACGCTGCACGAGGAATGGAAATCAGCTAAGGTGACTTTCATACCCAAACATAATAAGCCGTTATACCTTAATATTTTGAGACCGATCTCTCTTACATCATCTACAGGAAAACTGATGGAGCTTGTAATTCTCAATCACCTTTTTCTCTACATGGAACAAGAAGAACTCTTTCCCTCCACCATGTATGGCTTCCGACCGGGACTTTCCACTCAGGATGTCATGCTGCATCTTAAGGAGGACGTGCGAAATCCTACTTTCCAACGCATCATCAGAGCCATCCTTGAATTGGACCTGACTAAGGCTTTCGATGATTGTGTCTCACTTTTCAATTTTACAATCTCTTAGCGAACTAAACGTAGGCTCTTGCACGCACAGGTATGTCGCTGCCATCCTCAGCAACAAGTTCCTCCGCCTACAATTAGGCACTTTCAAAACCGATCCCTTCACGCTAGGTAGCATGGGAACGCCCCAGAGATCGGTTTTGTCCACGTTCCTTTTTAACGTTACTCTCATGCCACTAGCGTGAGAACTTGCCAAACTTTCTTTCATCAAGCACTCCTTCTACGTGGATAACATCACCATCTGGGTCAATGCTGGCAACCATTGCGAAATTGAATCGAAGCTTCAGTTGGCCTCTGACGCTGTTGTTTAACTTGCCAACAGTATTGCCCACCTGCTCGGCAGCTAAATCGAAACTTCTAGTAATTCACTTTAAAAAACAAGATACACGTCACATTGAAGTCATGCTTGATGACACCCCTAATCTCAGCATCAATAAAATCAAACTTGAGGTCTTAACTATTCTGACAATGGTTCGAACGCTGACACCATAAAGTTAATCAGCACTTCCGTTATAATACAGCTTCTCTCATTAAGCGCATTTCCAATCGTCATCGCGGCATGAGGAAAGCAAGCACACGCCGCCTCATTCAGGCAACTTACCCATGCAGAATTACCTATTTCAACACCTACCTCTATCTCACACCAATGGAGACTGAGCAACCTAACAAATTCATTTGCACTGCCTATAAAACTGATCTCCATCGCCCTAAATGAACAGCCACGAATAAATTACTTCAACTTTGGGTGCACAGTATCTGGGAGAGCTTTTAGAGGCGCATCTTTTAAGCCAGTATCAAAGACTATCACTCACAGAAACAGCACAAGCACTCCTGCACCGAGTTAGAATCGACGTTCCTGGTCACACCATGGCCACGCACGCAGTTGCCGTCTTTGTTGGCAGAAACTTATTAATCCTGCCTTCTCCTCAAAAATACTCACCAAGATCATAATCGGGTGCGACCGGAAGCTCGAGCCAAGTCCCTTCACAAGCGCTTCCCTCCTAGTTTCCCCGCACTCTATGAGGACGTGGCCGAACATGCTGATCATCGAGCTTTCAGGATAGCCGTTGTAAACTGATTTCAAAAGCTGGTCGCTAGTGCGTCCCTTCCAAATTCGAGAGAATCCCTAGAAGCAGAGGACGCGGCAATTGCTTTAGGCATTGTTCACTGCTCCGCTGAGTATATTTTTTTCCGATTCAAGAACTGCAATACAGAACTTCGCCACATTAAAAATTCATTCTCCGGCTGCTATAATTCTTGAATCACCTTCTCCGCCTGATCGCCTCATCACCCTCCTCTATGTCCATGCGCACAGTGGACGCCCAAGCAACACGGCCATTCGCACCGAAGCCCGAGCACTCACCAACCGGACTCACAGTGACCTGCTTTCGATTCGAGGTGCCAGGGAGCGACTCCTCAACTATCATGCTATCACGCTATTTTATCAGGCGTCTACTTTGGCGCACTTAAAGATGATGGACAGAAATGATAAGCGTGAACTTCCACTGCGACAAACCAAAAAACTTCACGTGGCAGTATAAGTGAAGCCAGTGAATCGACGGTGGGTGCACCATGTACGTGGCGTGTTGTCATGACTTACATGACATGCATGTCATGATTTCTACATTCGGTGGTCTAGTGGCTAGGGTACTCGGCTGCTGACCCGCAGGTCGCGGGTTCGATTCGCGGCTGCGGCGGCTGCATTTCCGATGGAGGCGGAAATGTTGTAGGCCCGTGTACTCAGATTTGGGTGCACGTTAAAGAACCCCAGGTGGTCAAAATTTCCGGAGTCCTCCACTACGGCGTCTCTCATAATGAAATGGTGGTTTTGGGACGTTAAACCCCACAAATCAATCAATTGATTTCTACATTAGGGTCTCTCACTTATGTTCGTCATGCAGTCATGCCACACATTATCAGTATTGAAATATGTCTTGTGAACGAAACTACTGCAAGAGCAGGAAGACCATTATTTGTACATCAGGACATTCACGACATACACGTAAGGATTTTTAAATGCGACATTCCTTAGCGAAATTCGGCGACGTCGAGTCCGTCCATCTATCTATCTATCTATCTATCTATCTATCTATCTATCTATCTATCTATCTATCTATCTATCTATCTATCTATCTATCTATCTATCTATCTATCTATCTATCTATCTATCTATTATCTATCTATCTATCTATCTATCTATCTATCTATCTATCTATCTATCTATCTATCTATCTATCTATCTATCTATCTATCTATCTATCTATCTATCTATCTATCTATCTATCTAGCTAGCTAGCTAGCTAGCTAGCTAGCTAGCTAGCTTAGCCGCTTACGTTTTCGTGCTCTCGTGGTCACCTCCTTAGCGTGAACCAGAATTAGCTTAGTTTGACAAATATTACGCTCTGGTCAAGACATGAATAATGCACAATCCCATCGCATACGTTGTCAGACACTTACCGCCAGACAGTAGCACATATCCATGGGGAAATATGTGCCGTTGTTATGCGGATATGTGCCACAGGTGATTGACAGTATCTACGCAGGAACGACGAGAGCACTCATGGACAATATTAACGCGCAATTGTTAAAAAATACACGACATCGCTGGCGTCGACTACTTCTCTTCTTCAAGGCTGCAGCTTTCAAAAAGACAAATAAGGTTGTGGAAATCTCGTGTCAAGCGACAATGCATAATCATGAATTTTCCAACAGAAATGTTGTTTTTCTTTAGCCTGACTTTATCTGTAAGCTGTGTTATATGCAGATGGTGATAGGGATTTTTGGCAGTTTCAATGTGCTCTACTAATGTATCACAGGTAAGATGCACCTAAAGTTTAAGAATGAGGCTACCTCGAAATATAAAAAATTCAGTGTTTTTCCATATATATGAATAATTAGGTTCACCAGCCACTTTTGGTCAAAAGACCCAGCCACACAGATTTCTGTCGAATACATTTACCTTTAAATTGTGTCACTTAACTCATGAATGACTTGTCCCATAACACTGTGCCTATGTCAGCAAACTGGAACTACATTCTGCATTTCTAATAAAGATGGCTTTTTCAAGAAGCCTATGATAGTTTTTTGCTGCTCATCGTTGTTTTCTTTTTATTTTTCATGCAATATGTGTTTGTAAAGCTATTTCCACTGACAGGTGTTATGTGTTTATCTAAGGGTAACACCTGAGTCATTCTAAGCCAAGTGTTCCAACCATTTTGGTGGCCATGTCAAATGTATGTCATATCAAGCGTACCTGGTTGATTTTTGACCATCTCCGATTATGCTAAAAAAACAAGAAATGTGCAGGTATATGTGAACGTGAGTAGTAGTTGTTGATACAATATATTTTGCGAAATAATTTTGTGTTGCCTAGGTAGATGGCACTTTAGCTTTTAGGCACCTAAGTGAAACTGTGTCACACTAAATAATTCATATAATATTGCTGGTTTGATCCCTTATAATGATACAGTGTTTTCGTTAGTGCCTAGGTGTTGCTCTTTCAAGACTCTGATAGGTTACTGATTTTATCTTTTTTTTTGCTTTGGCAAAAAGTTGCAATATGCTGCTTGTTTAGCATTCCTATAAAAAGCACAACTTGTTCGCAATTCTGCAATTTATTATTGTTTTCTGTTTTATATGTTCCTATATTTTCAGCTTACGACAAAAACCATTACATTTACTGCACAAAATTTCTGTCTGGTGTTCTTTAATTTCGTAATGCAGTGTCTGTATCACACAAGTTAGTTAAGATGACACATTTCCGGCGTTTCACTTCTGAAGCCCAAATATGTGATTGCCACAGTTTATAAGGCATGGATTTATTTTGTCATTCTATTTTTGTTCCCAGGTACAATGGGCAGATCATCCCGACTAAATGCTGTGGTAAAGGCAGAGTCAGTGGAGTGGCTCGAAGGGTGCTCAGCCTTCTCAAAATACTTTGAAGAATAAATGTGCGAGTATTCACAAAAGCTTTTGTTGCATATTTTAAGCAATGCTACCCACGTCCAATGACAGTGGCATGGCGAAGTGAACTACTCTACAATTCATAATGACACAGAATACAATTGTTCTCATGAGCCATTATTGACAGTGCATTGAGAGCCTGCTGTCACCTTACGAAGAAAATGCTACATTGATGGTCTAATAATAGCTTTAATTGACAAGGCGATGTTAAATGACACTAATTAGTAATCACTTTCCTCTAAAATGTAATTTTTGACGGTCAAAGGTTGTCAATCGGACAGTTCAGTTGTGTATGAAGTTCACTAAAAAACATCAATATGATGAAAGAATACCGTCATTTGCAAATGATGACCTTTAGGTATTTTGCACGTAAATGTTATCTGCTTGACGGTTTGCTTATATTTTAAAATGACGGGAAACACATCAAAATGACAAAATTGTGTAGTCATTTGAAAATAGTGGCCTGTGGTTATTTTGATGTTTATGTTATCAGTTTGATGGTGTGTTTGTATTTTAAAATGACGGGAAACACATTAAAATGATAAAACTGCGCTTTCATTTGAAAATGACGGCCTGTCGCAATTTTGATGACCATAAGCTTGGAAACAGAGCTGCTGGTATATTCACCGTCAATTTGACAAAACTTTTTACACTGTTCTGCATGACAATGTAGCATTTTACCATAGAGCCACACCAGGTCTCGGGACTACTTTTCAAATAGACGCTAATTCTTGTGAAATGTCAATAGTGGTTGCAGTGCTGCCTACGCAATTTTATAACCATTACATATGAACTCTGTTGGGTTCGAGCTTGGTGCGTTACCCGCCCCGCTGATTATGAGCCCACGCCGTGACGGAAGTGGTAACACTGAATTAGCGGAACGACGGCTGTCTGTTCATCATAAAAGATGCGAAGACTCACGTCTCCCAAGGGGCTTAGTGGTAGCGCCTTACTGGAGACAAGAGCCGAGTCCGGCTGCAAGGGAGGAAAGTGTACTTGGAAGGTGGCAACCGAAACAAGCGGCAGTGGTGGCATTGATACAAGGGCCAGTTATACTGATGGCCTGTCAGCCCAGCATTGCAGGCGCGTACCTGGGAGGTGCGTTCTCATGGCCCGTCGACGCCGGACGCCGATAGTTCTGGGAACCGAATTGAAGGAAGCTGAACGGCAGCGGCGGCGAAGAGTCGAGTGGGTGAGAGGCAGTGGTTCTTAAAGGAAGATCCGAGGAGGTAGGACACTGCCTGACACTTTCGACGGCTGCCAACCAAGAGTCAAAGAGAGAGACAGTCCTGTGTTCCTATTAGATTGTAAGAGTGTTTGAATGGGGAGTTATGGGATAAAACCAGGGGTGCAGGGGACAGACCAGAAACGAATTAACGTCTCTATAGAAATGATGTCCGAGCAGTGCTTTCCTCAAGGTGCCAGCAGATGAAACATCTCGTCTTCAGCTTTCTTGGCAGCAGCAGTAAATGTCGCAAAACCAGCGAGGCGAGTGGAAGAACTATAAAACGGAACTTGCACAGTCGAGCAGGATCTACGTGGCTGAACTGACGAGGACGGTGACGAGCGGCATTGACCGAGACTGGCTACAGTCACTTTAACTGACAACTACGCTGCGGTATCAACAAAGCAAGGCTAGTGCACTGGATTCCGAGGAGGAATAATGCACTGCATGGCTGCTTCAGGCTGGAACCTCTTGATTTTCTGTTGGGGGCAGGCTAACTCGGAAATGGACGGCGATGGGGCAGAAAACTGGAAAGCGTTGGCAGTTGGCGACACCAGCTTGGAGGGTCACGGTAGTGCAGTCACATACGGCGTCGGAACAGCAGCTAGCACTGCTTCAGCTGCAATTGAAGCTTTCTAAAGCGGAAACGAAGTAGCAGCGCTTGATGCTAGAAAGCCATCAGCTATGAGCCCACTAGGGACAGAATTCAACGAGGTTGGGGACAGCGTATCACTTGGAAGAAGGCTACAGGAAGACAGGTGACTGAAATGTGCAAGCTTCCTAAAGGGTGTACTGGTACCAATGGCGAACCAAATGGCACTTGCGCCAATGTGGTTCAAGGATGTTGAGGCAAGGCATTGTATACCGATTCGTATGAAGCCCCGAACGAATGGTAGGCTGGGCTAGTTTTATCACAGTTGAGTGAAAGGACACGTGGGAAGGTTGACTGCAGGTGAGTGAAAAGTTTACGTTAAGCTTAAGTCGATCATTTTGGAGGGTCTGAGGTTTTTGGCGGTGGATACAAGAGACTATTTGCAGGTTAAAAAAGGGAGACAAAGAAGTCCTGGGATCAGTTTGCCGTGCACCTTGGAGATTATTTCGAGTAATATGTCCAGAGTTCAAAGGTAGGCACGTTCGAAGAACTCACGCAGCTAGTTGTCGCGAATCGCTTAAAAGAATATTCGATATCGCATTTGACATGTCGCAGTTGATATGTCACAGTTGGCACCGTTGTTCCATGGGCAAAAAAACTGGTTATATAGACTTCTGTAACTGTTCAACATAAGTCTGTGCGTGCAGCGTTTGTACATATATTTAGTGTCCATTCATGACGTGTCGCGCAATACAAAATTGCTACATGGTCCCCTTCCTTACACATGCTTCGCATAACGTCTATTCCCAGGTACGTGGTATCTTCCCTTTTTTCTTGTTGTGAATAGTAACTTATGCTCGTCAAACAGTCATGTTAGGCCATACCAATTGCGGTGTCGATACCATTATCTTAATGGCCAAGACAGCTAAACGTCATAGGCGGCAAGATAGATAGATATATAGCTAGATAGATAGATAGATAGACGCCAAAAGTGCCTCCATTAGGTAAAGAAATCCCTGAAATTCAATGTGAAAATATAAAATTTTGAAAGGTTTGAGCAGTGAACCTGACCAAGCAGATCTCCACTACGCTCAACCTTCTACGCAGATGTGCGTGAAACACAAACTATAGACGTACACCAGGATACACAAACGTGACTACCGATGCTAGACACCGAAAATGAGAGTCGCGTATACAGAAATATGTATTCTCCTGCAGTGTCAAATAATAGAAGGACGCACAAGTTTTATCTAAGTTGAAAAGATTATACACGCTATCGTCATTTTTATTACCAAGGCGTTGCGAAGTTTTTAAATGGGCACTCGTCTTGCTGAAAAAGCTCCTCGTATAACTCAGTGAACTTAGTTTCCAGCAATGCTAAGGCAGCCAGCTCTGTAAGGCCAGTCACAAACCATAATTTTTTCGTTAAAATGCAAGTTTGCCGGGCATTTCTTGATGAATGGCACAAAATTAGAACAATGAACAAAGAGGTTACAGTCAGTGGGGTGGCGAAAAAGTCCAAATGTGGATTTGCACAAAGGAGCCCTTGTTTTCAGCAGCATCGTCCCCTGCAATGTTGACCAAGTTTGGGGTGTTTGAGTCGTAGCGGCATATGTAACAGTCATTTCTGACGTAGTAGGACCTCGAGGTTCCAGCACTGCCTTTCCACTGTACTTTTCTCTTTGCGTTGTTAACTGAATCTTGGCTTGATCACCCGTTGTAATAAATATGTTTTCGCTCTTGGGAGAGACAGTACGCTCGCCCTTGCGAATGGTACGTTCCGGCGAGAGCAAAGTGGCAGATTCACTGGTAGAAGACGCACTTAGCTTTAGGTGATCTTCATCTTCCCATTCTTGGTTACTGGGTGACGTTAACTGTGACGCTATAGATGACTCAGAAACCTGTAGTTTTGTTTCTTCGTTCACATCTGATTCTGTTTTTCTAGCACTTTTTACGAGGAGAATGTTTGCGCTTGTTGACGTGCCCTTGACTCCGGTAGTGAGCGCTTTTTTTGAAAAAAAGTGTAGTTCTTTTGATTGATCAGTTACCCTTTCTTCAGAAGTGGCAGTGGAAATTTTCGTCGCCGTCTCGGTTTCGGAACTTGTTTTTTCTCGGAAGCGTGCCGACAGATGAACAGTGACTGAGGGCTTAATGATTTGATTTTGCCCGGAAGATTTTAAGAGGTGCAGTTCAGACAAGGATAGCGAAGCATTGTGATTGTCTTCTTGAAAAGTCTGTAAAATTGCCGTATAGGTGCTATTCGTTTTATGTGCTGTTGCCCCACTTGTGAAGGGCTTTTGCTTACTCATTCCTGCAAAATATGGCCTTTTCGTTGTAGGGTTGCTACGCGCAATATGCGGCACTTCTTTAGTTCCGCTATCAGGGCCAAAGAAATCAAAATCTGACCATTTACTCACAAAAAGATTAGCCACTTCAGTTGTCGGTGAATCCATGAAACTTCGGGTTGCTCTGTACGTTGGCAGCATATCAAGCTGATTGCGATTACCAATAGTGGCTAGCTCTAGCGAACCATTATTTGACAGGGAATGGCTATAGTCGTCTGAAAGCTCCAGCGATGATGTGGGAATGCTTTCAGAACTTGACCATTGAACTGCCGATTGAAGATTTGAACCGCTAATTGGTTTCATGGTAGCAGACGCACTTGCTCTCGAATTTGGGATTAAACGTTTCTTCTCCCATTTTTCATTGTTGTCCAGATAGTATGCTTTGGTTGGGTAATACAGTGCTAAGAGGTTTCCTAAGTTATTACTTTTTGTATTGATTGCCACATTTACTTCATTTTCAAACTCTTCTTCAGACTCAGTTTGAGAAAGCCGTGGTTCGTTTTGTGTGTTTCTCTGAGCACCTGTTATGACTTCACCATTGTTCCTATGTAGTTTCGCAGTTTGCATTGTCACTATATATGAGTGACAATTAGATCGAGAAGGGCTAAAAGTCAGGCCTCTCGTACTCATTGGTGTGCTGAGTGCAGCGTTTAGCAGTGTGCGGCGGGGATACAAAGTGACACCATCTTGACTATCACTACGGCCATCCTTAAAATGTTTTACAGGAACTGGCGACAGCCCTTTTGGGCTTAAAATAGTTGCTTGTCTTACGTCACCTTCCCTTCTAACTTCAGCTTTGGTGTGAGAATGCATTGGTGAGTCACTGTTTAGAAGTGATGCGAGAAGACTGCCAGCTTTTAGTGTTGGCGTCAGAACCGGCATTGCGGTTTTTTCGTCAGTCCAGGTAAACACACTGTTAGCACCATTATGCCCTTCGGGAGATGTTTTGCTGAAATCGGTTGCCACAATCTGCGGATTTATTATAACTTCTGTTTTAGTGACATGAGCCTCATTTTTTTGTTGTGCACTTCCACCGTTCACCTGCAGTTCACTAGTAGGAAATGAAGTGCCTTCAGTGTTTCACTAGTCTGCCTTGGTAGTGCCGAAGCAAGTTGTGGTGACGGCGATGTAGACACTAACATGTCTACGTCACCACTAGAAGCAGTTGGAAGTAGGGTTGTTTTTGAAATGGATTCAATAAAAAGTGGAAGAGTTGTCTTTGTGTACTGACTACTGTATGGTATTTTGTCATGCGTAACAGAATACTGTGCTGCAAGAGCAGTGCCGACCTCAGTGGGTATTGCGCGGTAGCTTTTAGTGTATTGGTTGTTTACATTATAGATATGCGCTGACACGTAGCCTTTATCCTCTTTTGTCGAGTTAATATTCTGGAGTAATGTAATAGTGGTGTTCGTAGCTACAGATGATTGAACAGATTTGTTCAGTTCCACATTATCGGTTCTCCGAAACACTGCTGATGGTGCAACAGTGGTGGTAGAAGCTAAGGTGGCCTGTGTATCCTGAATGGAAACGTGATCGGTAACAGCTGGAGTGGTTGTCTCAGTAGTGACCTCTTGATCAGCTGAATTCATCGAAGTTCGTGTCAGTTTCGTCTGTTCTGAATAATGACTGTGTGTGCCCTTCGGCGTTGCCCAAGTTAAGTTCGTTGATTTCTGAGCTTGTGGCACTGTTGTAAGCATGTGACTCGTCTTAGAAGTTTTGCTTGTGCTACTTTCAGTACTGGGGAATACACTGTCAGCTGTAATTGACAGTTCTTCAACTGGGTTTCCCGTCACCTGTTCCGCATTTGTTGCCTCGATGGAAGGTTCTTCAGACGTGACTCCTACAGACGATTTTGTGGCAGGTCGGATTGGCTCTGGATGGAACAATGTGCCCAGTATTTCATCGTTGACACTTTCTTCACTTTCATACATTTTAGATGTTTGTAATGGCACCTTGCCTGAGTTGTCGGTATCTGAAATAAACAAAAATAAAAATAAATGGGCATTTATACTACGCATAACGATGTTTGCTAGGCTGGAACGCTACAAAGGCACCACTTGCAACGAAACAAATATGTTCCCCTCACACTTTCTTTCCCTTTAACAAATAGAGACCCTGACAGCCAATCCATTATTGTGGCGGAAAATTTTTCACCAGCTGTTAGGAACGTCGGTAAACACCATGTCGTCTTTGCTAAAGATAAATGTGCACCCTATTCCTCCCGTTTCAAAACATTCTCCATGGGCCCAAAGTGGCACATACAAGATGAAACTTCTCAAACAGTCAAAAAAGCATAGCAACCACAAGGCAAAGCAAAAATAATCCGTCGCCCCAAACCAACATGCAAGTCACGTCTTCCTATCTCAGTAATCTTCACTAGTATACGCAGCTTCATTTCAAAACCCGAACAAGTTTAAAACCTTGCACTGACTTCTAATAGCAACATGTTAATTCCTACCGAAACTTGGCTTGGCGACCACATTGCAGACTCGGAAGTACTGGCCTATTTGCCCAACTTCAGCGTGTTTCGTGCTGACCGTCTGGATACACGATGAGGTGTTCTCATAGATGTCAGCCAAAAATTATCGTGTTCCATTTTAAGTATCATGTCAAACTTACAATTACTTTTCATTCATTGTCACACAGCTCCGCAATCACTACTAGTGGGTGTTTGCTATCAACCCCCTTTCCCTCGCGGTAGCCCGGATTTCACCATTGAACTAAACAATGCCCTCTGCGATATAACATCAAAGCACACCAAGGCTAGCCTTCTGCTTTTATGAGACTTTAATTTTCCCGACATTGATTGGCATAACTTAGCTCCCCACTTAGTAACTCAGACAGAGGTAAAAAACTTTCTTGACCTTTGTCTTGATTTTAATCCTTGTCAACTAGTGTCCCAACATACACATATCACACAAGACACAGCTAACACATTAGATATATTAATAACAAACCAACCAAAATACCGTCAATCATCTATCCTAAAGAAATCAGTGACCGTAATGTCATTCACGCGTCCTTCGAATTCGGGGCGATTCCGTGCCTGACATGAAGTACAAAAAACTATACAAGTTTACAAAACAGGAAACTACGAAGCTATGTCGAATAACCTGTGTGAGTTTTTAAGCCTCATTTTAGGCGTTTTACAAGGAACTTACTATCAACACAAACTGCGAAATAGCTACAGAAACATTAAACAGCCTAGCAGACAGGTATATTGCAAAGATAGCATTACGAACGCAACCAGAAAAACCATGGTTCAGCAATTCTTTGAAAAGGTTGGATAACAAAAAAAAACGTTTATACCAAGCAGCAAAGGATACAACAAATGCATGCGCATGGAATAAATATTACACAGCGGAACGCGCATACTTATCAGCTGTCCGGCAAGGGAAAAAATCGTTCTTTCATGAAGACCTACCCAAAATGCTGGTCAACAATCCGAAAAAACTCTGGCAGGTGATTAGTCCTCGAGGTAAAAAAAAGCAACACGCTAATTAACAAAGACGACGAAAAAGACGGTTTGTCTTTATTAACAACGGTCAACGACGAAGAGTGTGCTAACAAATTTAAAGCAGTATTTGGGTCAGTTTTCACCAAAGAAGCTAGCCTACTGTTTGTTTATGCAGCGACGAGCACACGTAATTGCATGCCAGCGATAACTTTTCATGTCGATGGTATCTTCTCTTTGATTGACAATCTCAAACTATCATCTTCAGCTAGAGTCGTTAACATAAACTCAAAAGTGTTAAAAACTAAAGATATCAGTGCTGCTTAATTATGTCTATTGTTTTCTCAGTCACTTTCCACCGACATCATACCTCATGATTGGATGGTGGGAAGGGTTATTCCAATCTATAAATCAGGGAACAAGAATTCCCCATTTAACTATCGCCCCATCTCACTTACCAGCGTACCGTTCAAAATTATAGAACATGTCATTCATACAGAAATCAGTAAAATTTAGACTCGAATGATTTTTTTATCTTCAACAACACGGACTTCGCAAAGGACTTTCTTGCGAAACCCACTTGGCGGCGTTTCCGCATGATTTTCACACAAATCTCGGTACTAATCTATAGACAGATGGCATATTTTTAGACTTCGTGAAAGCGTTTGAAAGGTACCACATCAACGATTGCTACTATAACTATCTTTGGCAAATTTACACCTCAATATCTTACGATGAATCGAATCATTTCTTGATAATCACTCTCAGTTTGTCTTTATTAACAACAACACCTCTGATTCACTACGAGTAACTTCCGGAGTTCCTGAAGGATCTGTTCTTGGGCCTCTCCTCTTTTTAATATATATTAACGTTCACATAACTTGTATTATCCGTATGTTTGCAGATGATTGCGTCAATTACAAAACCATTACTAATACATTTGACCAAATTTCTCTTCTCACAAATAATAATTGTCTGAAACAATGGGGTGAATGTGGGCTAACAAAACTAAACCCCGCTAATTGCAAAGTTTGGACATTCTCCCGACGACGTAACCTTTTGTTCTATTCATATTCAGTCAATAACATAGCATTAGAAGCTTCGCCCTCATAAAGATACCTCGGTGTTACCTTAACTAATTTTTTTATCTTGGAACGCACAGATTACTAACGTCATCTCATCTTCTAATAAGGCACTTGGTTTCCTTAATCGCCCCACAAAACAAGCCTCAAAGCATGTCAGACTATCAGCCTATCAAACCATAACTCACACTAAACTCGAATACGCAAGCGCAGTATGGAACCCTCCAAAAACTTATATAAGCAACGCTCTCGAAACCGCGCAAAACCGTGCTGTGAAGTTCATACACTTTCAATATTCATATCATGTCAGCGTGTCATCATTGCGAAAAGACTTGGGTCTGCCGACCCTTCCTTCTCGTCGCCGTGTATAATCCTTATCTCTCTTTCAGAAGTTTTATCATTGTTCACTTAATCAACCACCGTATATTATTCCCGCTGGTTGAACTTCACATCGTACTGGCTACTATAACCGTGTGGGTCGCCCCCGCACTCGTACTACCTTTTCAAGTTATTTTTTTCGCACAGCTACATATTGCAACAGCCTGGCTCACCGAATTGCTACCCTAAGCAGCGCCCCCGCATGCACACAAGAGATATCTCACCATTTTTCATAAGAAAAATTACTGTATGTCCTTTTCATCATTCCAACTGCTTGTGTATATCACAGAATCACGTACGCGTGTATATCACAGAATCACGTACGCGTGCACCCATACTCTGTTTAATATTGCTTACTGAAATGGTGTTTCTAACAAGTATAATAAACATACATAAACCTACCCCTTATGCAATGCCCCTGTTGGGCTTTCAAAGTAATAAAATGAGTTGAGGTTCTAAAGTTCTCTGTAACAGATTCACCAAGAAAGGCAGGCATAACGAATATGGTGCATTCTGCATTCTTTTTCGAAACTTTTAAACAACAGCAACGCGGAAATGGACGTTTTGCGCTTCAGCAAGACGTTGGAGCCATGAAAACGCGTACTGCGTGTGGCTCGTGCACTTTCTGCTGGCGGCATGGGCCGCACTGATGCCTTTGTCATGAATTTTTTTAGGATTTTTTGTCAATAAATATGTTCTTTGGTTACGCGGACATGATTGGTTCGAAGCGCGCTTTTCGGGAGGCTTTCCGTCCTGTCACCATGTGTGAAGACCGGCGAAATGGTTGAGGGCTGTGTATCGTGTGACGTCAATGAACCTTAAAAAACACCGGGTGGCCAAACTTTTCTCAACTCTCGACAACAGCGTCCCTCGTAATCATATCGTGGTATTGGGAGTGAACCCTGTGTAATGATATTCTGCGTCAAGAAACACGGAGCGACAACTCTTTGATTCGCCTGAAAAGACAAGGCATGATGCAAACACGGGACGCAGAAGAGAAGGCGCCACAAATACCGACTAACAACAATGGATAAGTAGAGAGGCATATCTGTGAACGCTCATGCAGAAGGCGAACCTATCAATACGGCATGCGTGGGGGTCCATGGAAAGGATTCGTTTATTCGTTTATTCATAACTCAAGGGTCCTGAGAAACATCACATGATGGGTGGGCAATAAAATTTTAACAGATGAAACAAAAAAGAGCAAGTTGGCATAAACAATAACAAAATATAGAAAAAAATTATAAAGATACAATATGGTGTTTTACGGCTTTTTTAAATTGATTGAACTGAGATGACATGGCGTTGTGGGCGGGAAGGAAATTCCATTCATGTGCTGTCTAGAGGAAAAATAACTTCTGGAAGGTCTTTGTTTTTGGGCGTACGGAATATACTGCTTTGGGGAGATGATATCGTGATGTCTGATGAGCAGGCCTGATTAATGTATTGCCAGGAGACGAGGAATAAAAAAACTTATGATACAAGCACAAGCGTGAAATTTATGGCGAGAGGCAAGATGAGGAAGCTCAAGCTGGTGTTTGACTGCTGACACACTTATTTTATTTGAATAACTTGAGATAATAAATCTGGAAGCATGGTTCTGAATTGATTCGAGCATAGTGTTAAGGTTAGCTTGATGAGGATCAAAATTGGCATTAGCATACTCCAGTTCAGGCCTGGTGAGTTTTTTATAAGCTATTAGTTTAGTAGCAGCAGATGCCGAAGCAAGGTTGCAACGTAGGTATCCAAGAACTTTATTAGGTGAGATAGTTATGCTAACGATGTGTAAAGTCCATGTTAGATCACATGAGATGTGAACACCTGAGTATTTGGTAGTGTTCGTAGCGGCTAAATAGTAGTTGTTTAGAAAGTAAGTGTTAGCGATGTAGTTATTACGATGATGAATAGTCATTAGGAAAGTTTTGTTGACAGTTAGCGACACTAACCAATCTTCACACCATTGTTGTATAGTGCAAAGATCTGACTGTAAAACAGAAGAATGTGAGGCATTATTTACAGGGTGATACGACACGCAATCATCGGCGAATAGTCTAATAA